AGAGAGAGGGGGGGGGAGAAAGTCTGAAAAACTGTCAACAGCAGTGAAATATAGACATGTTCAAACCGACGAAAGAACTCGAGATTCATACCACAAAACTTTGGCTCGGACCCAAATTCTGAAACGGGACTCAAGTCCTGGTAGAGGTACCCACTCCCTGGAAGCCAAAAGTGTTGATCAAGCTGAACTCGAAGACGGTTCCCCACAGAATGGATAGTATAGGCTAGTGTCTTGTTTCTGTAGCCAGTGCTTTTTACACACGTAAGCAACTATTTTGGCTTCTTCATATTGCTCCGCGTATTGTCACACTGAGCTAAAAGAAAAAAGTACTTGGAACTGAGGGCCAATATTAACGTAGGACGTTACGTGATGGGTTTTGAAGGAGGTTTCGTCGACGGAATATTTATGCAGTTCATTTCTTTTGGAGTGAGGTAGGAGTATTTAATGGGGACATTTTGTTTTTTCCTAATGACCAAATGTGTTATACAAATTCAAACAAAAATAAAAGTAATAATAATTAACCAATTATTGGTCTAAATCTGATCATCTCTTGGAATTTCCGATTAGAATACCACCTCTTAATGTTTACTTTCATATATTATGACTCTTAATTTTTAGTTTTAGTAGAAGTTTTACGGCGCTCGCAATTGCACAAGGTCATATGAGCGCCAGAAGAATAGAGGTGTTACAAGGGAGTAACAAACATAATAAAGAAGAAGGGGAGATAAGGTCGATAGATGTTTGATAGGAAAGAAGGAGCAAACCACACTAGAGCACCTGCCAACCACCCTCATATTATGGCTCTTCTTACGGGCAGTTGATTGAGGCTGAAAAATGTCATTTCTTACAGAAAATTGAAAACTGTCTTCAGAATGCGTTCTAGCATTTTTTATGGAAATGATGCAAGGGTCTGTAACTCAAGAAGTAGTTTTATCATTCTTGGTAAAGTCGAAAACCTGTACTATTTAGGGTTTTTTCCACATTTTTCTGAGTTGTGTCTGTTCTGGGGTGGGGGAAGAGGGTTGTTTATTTGTTTGGGTTTTTTTATTGGGTGGATTTTATAACTATAATATCATAACGGCGGTAGAAAAGAACGAGAAGATCCTGGGTTGAAGTGATAAAGGAAGTGAGTGTGTTATTTGAGATTTGAGTTTGTGTTCATGTGTGTGTTATTTGGTATTGTTTGTGTTGGTAAGCGTATTTTTTGCTATTTTTGGTTGTGTTTGTTGGCGAGTGTGTTATTTGGTATTTGTGTTTGTGTTGGTGAGTGTGTTATTTGGTATTTGTGTTTGTGTTGGTGAGTGTGTTATTTGGCATTTGTGTTTGTGTTGGTGAGTGAGTTATTTGTATTTGTGTTTGTGTTGGTGAGTGTGTTATTTGGCATTTGTGTTTGTGTTGGTGAGTGTGTTATTTTGTGTTTGTGTTTGTGTTGGTTGGTGAGTGTGTTATTTGGTATTTATTTTTGTATTGGTGAGTGTGTTCTTTGGTATTTATTTTTGTATTGGTGAGTGTGTTGTTTGGTATTGTTTGTGCTGGCGAGTGTGTTATCTGGTATTTTCTGTTTGTATTGTTTGATGAGTGTGTTGATTTGGTAGTTGTGATTTTGTTGGTTGATAAGTGTGTTATTTGGTATTTTTGTCGGTTGATAAGTGTGTTATTTGGTATTTTTGTTGGTTGATAAGTGTGTTATTTGGTATTTTTGTTGGTTCATAAGTGTGTTATTTGGTATTTTTGTTGGTTGATAAGTGTGTTATTTGGTATTTTTGTTGGTTGATAAGTGTGTTATTTGGTATTTGCGTTTGTGTTAGTGAATGTGTTATTTGGTATTTGTGTCGGTTGATGAGTGTGTTATTTGGTATTTTTGTTGATTGATAAGTGTGTTATTTGGTATTTATGTTTGGGTTGATGAGTTTGTTATTTGGTATATCTGTTTGTGTTGATAAGCATGCTCAGGAGAAGAATTGAAGCACTCCTGATATCCTGAAGCGCTTGTCGTCCTTCAGTGCATTGGGACGTATTATATCCATACAGCGGGGACATGTGTTAACACTCTCCGTTCGCCCTGGGGTCATTTTGTACCCCCGGGGGTGTATTCTTCACATTTTAGAAAACTTTTAGAACGAAGATCTCTTTGAAACTTTCAGTATTTCTTAAAAAAATCATTTTAACAAACTATTATGCAAAGCGTACGAACCGGATTAACGAGTAAATTTCCTCTTCGGAAAGTGATGGCAGAGAGTTCTCCACGTCGTATGGATACTATAGTAAAACACGACTTACGGATAGGGTTAGATAAATGAGGAGTTAATGGGAAAAACGGGAATAATCACAAACTGAAAATCTCGAGGGTATCAATTTTGAACTCTCGTTGACTCATAACTTTATTTTTGTTAAACTGTTGGTTTATTATTGTTGTTAGATTTCCCATTCTGCAATCAAAAAAGTGAACCACAAATCAAACAAATATGAAGTTTTGAGTCCACAAGCTTTTAAAATTGACACCCTCACAATTTCCAGTTTATGGCTATGCCCGTTTTTCCCGTGGAAACCTCAAATGATTTTCGATTTAATTTTATTTATCATTATTGTTGAACGAGTGAATTGGAACAGTTTACCAATATGATTCATTAGTCATCAGTATTAAATGCAGTGTTGTGGGTTCTCGTGTGCTTGCTGATTGTTGCAATCTATAGATTAACACCCGACAAATAAGCTGTTATTGTTTTCTCTCTTTATTTTTAGTGTGTAAATACTCTTGTCCTCATCATCATCATCATCATCATCATCATCATCATCATCATCATCATCATCATCATCATCATCATCATCATCATCATCATCATCATCATCATCGTCTTCATCATCATTGTAGACAGAGAATGAAAAAGGTTGAGACTTGGTACGATTTCCAAAATATAGTATAAGATAATACGTTCAAAGTTTTGTCGTATGGCTTCATCAAGAACAATTAAAAAGTCGATGATTTCATTATCATCATCATCATCATCATCATCATCATCATCATCATCATCATCATCATCAT